CTTTAAAGGTGCTCTGCATTTATGTTTTGCGGTCTCAAAAAGGGCTAGCGAGATACCATCTTGTTATATCATATTATGATTGTTTTGAGAAAGTGTTGTCATCCGAGATTTATTATTATTGCTCCCTAGTTGATTATGCCATTGATATGAGTAAACTTGAGACCTAAGCGTTATTGTGAATGTGGCTAGTCATAATCTTTGCTGAAAACTTGAATGCTGGCTTTAAATATTTACAACAACAAGAGCAAACAGAGTTTGTAAAATTTTTTCTTTACCACTTTCAGTTTGTCAACTGAATTGCTTGAGGACAAGCAAAGGTTTAAGCTTGGGGGAGTTGATACGTCTCCGACGTATCTACTTTTCCAAACACTTTTGCCCTTGTTTTGGACTCTAACTTGCATGATTTGAATGGAACTAATCCGGACTGACGCTGTTTTCAGCAGAATTGCTATGGTGTTATTTATGTGCAGAAACAGAAGTTCTCGGAATGACCTGAAACTTCACGGAACATCTATTTGGAAATAATAAAAAGTCCTTGCAAAAGATGAAGACCAGGGGGCCCACCACCTGTCCACGAGGGTGGGGGCGCGCCCCCTACCTCGTGGGCCCCCTGGAGCTCCTCCAACCTCAACTCCAACTCTATATATTTGCTTTCGGGGAGAAAAAAATCAGAGAGAAGAATTCATCGCGTTTTACGATACGGAGCCGCCACCAAGCCCTAAAACCTCTCGGGAGGGCTGATCTGGAGTCCATTCGGGGCTCCGGAGAGGGGAATCCATCGCCATCGTCATCATCAACCATCCTCCCTCACCAATTTCATGATGCTCACTGCCGTGCGTGAGTAATTCCATCGTAGGCTTGCTGGACAGTGATGGGTTGGATGAGATCTATCATGTAATCGAGTTAGTTTTGTTAGGGTTTGATCCCTAGTATCCACTATGTTCTGAGATTGATGTTGCTATGACTTTGCTATGCTTAATGCTTGTCACTAGGGCCCGAGTGCCATGATTTCATATCTGAACCTATTATGTTTTCATCAATATATGAGAGTTCTTGATCCTATCTTGCAAGTCTATAGTCACCTATTATGTGTTATGATCCATTAACCCCGAAGTGACAATAATCGGGATACTTACCGGTGATGACCATAGTTTGAGGAGTTCATGTATTCACTATGTGCTAATGCTTTGTTCCGGTACTCTATTAAAAGGAGGCCTTAATATCCCTTAGTTTCCATTAGGACCCCATTGCCACGGGAGGGTAGGACAAAAGATGTCATGCAAGTTCTTTTCCATAAGCACGTATGACTATATTCGGAATACATGCCTACATTACATTGATGAATTGGAGGTAGTTCCGTGTCACCCTATGTTATGATTGTTACATGATGAACCGCATCCGGCATAATTCTCCCTCACCGATCCATTGCCTACGAGCTTTCCATATATTGTTCTTCACTTATTTACTTTTCCGTTGCTACTGTTACAATCACTAAAAAATACCAAAAACATTACTTTTGCTACCGTTACCGCTACTATCATATTACTTTGCTACTAAATACTTTGCTGCAGATATTAAGTTTCCAGGTGTGGTTGAATTGACAACTCAGCTGCTAATACTTGAGAATATTCTTTGGCTCCCCTTGTGTCGAATTAATAAATTTGGGTTGAATACTCTACCCTCGAAAACTGTTGCGAACCCCTATACTTGTGGGTTATCAGCTCGCCGCAACTTTTCCTCTTTGATGCGCGGCCGTCGGTCCCTTTTTTCTGATTACGATGCAGGAGAAGAAGGAAGCCCTGAGGAAGAAGGAGGAGATGACGCGGGGAAGAGGAGGCGCTGAATCGTGCGGCCTGGGCCACACGCATCGTGGGGCTGCGGTGCGACCGACCCAAATTTGGGCCGGCGCACCGGCGCCAGCAGTGCCCATGCAGGACATGGAAGCGAGGTTTTCGGTCGGGAGCTCGATGACAAGGCGAGGTGGCACGTCCTGGGGCGTTGGATCTTCATAACACGGATGGTTGACCCGCTCCCCGTACCGGTTCGGGCGGGTTAGCAAGGTTAGCTTGCTGGGCCGGTCGACTAGGCTGGCGGGCCCAACTGGCTTTTTTTCCTTTCCTTTTTTTCCTTTTTCCCATTTTGCTTTTCCGTCTTCATTTTACCATTTGAATTTCAAAATTATTTAATTTCAAACTTGCTCTAAAATTATCTGAGAAAATTAACATAAGGTCAAATCAATATTTAAGGTTTATGAAAAAAAATCCTGCCAAAATTAAATTTAACCCCTTTTAAAATTATTCCCTTTTTTATTTTTGAATTGATTCAAAAATTAAAATGATTAAAACCCTTTTGGGACAAATAATAGAGGCACACAATATTTTTGGGACTTATGAAAAGTAATTTTCAGCCCAAATTAAATATTTTAATTGTCACCCTTATTGGGTTACCAATTTATTTCCCAAAATTATTTAGGGTTCAATTTAATTACCAATTTTTATTTAGGGTTTCAAATAAATACCAGAGATTTATGGAAATTAGTTCCAACCCAAAAAATAAACAAACGGTCACAACCTTTCTGTGAGCTCAATTTTTGGTTTTATAAATAATCCCCAAATTACAATTTAGGGTTTTGAATAATTCCAAAGTTTTATTCGAGGCACATTTCGATAAAAAAAAATCAACTCCTAGTCAAAACTAGCTATGCTCCACTGCACAAAAAAAACTAGCTATGCTCAAGCAAACTTTGAAAAGTAAGTTTTATTCCCTCTGATTTATTTTTCTACATTCCAAGTTTGGGATTAACTTAGAATGTGACAAAATTAGTTGGTCAAAATTATTGTAGTTCATACATAGCGTACCACACATCTTCTATCTTCAAATGTATAATGATATGGATTTTACAGCATATCTTCTATCTTCGTACACTTTCTTTGCAGTATATAAAACATTATTTGGTTTCAAAAGTATACTGATAGCCCAAAGTAGCACTTGTTATTGCTATTCTGGCAGTTCATGCAAGCCTTGGCGTGTCTTTTTGTTTGGGTAAATTTGATATATACCACGACAAAGTTTCTAGCTTTGAAATATGCTATTACTATTCTTTGATTTTGAAGCATGGCACTACAAAATTCACAACCTTTGAAATATACTTGCATATTGTTTTCGATTTTTTTAGAAAAGGAGGATGACCCCCGGCCTCTGCATCTGGGAGATGCATACGGCCACTTTATTAATTATTCTCACAAGACCTTACAAAGTAATACAACAGTAAGATTAAAGCCGCCGTCTAAGTAACTCTATCCAGTTGATGAAGGGGCGCAGATAGCCTGGGCCTAACACCAAACAGACATCGCAGCCAAACCTAACATCTAAGACCTGAGGTCCCATCCAGGACGCCTGCCGGGCATGGGTCTCACCGGTCCGGTGTGCACTCAGAGGCCGCCGCCGTCAACTGCCACCGCTCCATCTTCAGAACTGTACTGATGCATTAACCTTGCTCGGTCCAGCTATCGTCGACGCCACCACAGCGTCCAACGGCACCTCCTCCCTACGCGCAAACAGCTGAGCACGTCGCGGTCGCCACTGATACACCTCAGCACCATGCTGCCAAGTACCACCAGCCAACACAACTTGAAGTCTTTGGAAAATCTGTCGTGCGTAGCACCTGCCGACCAGGCATGACAAAGTGTAGCAGCTGTTGGTTGGGCATGACTTGACATCTCCACCGAAACTCCGTGCAAGATGAAGCCGCTCCACCTACAGCCTCTCTGAACGGGACCGGAGCACCTCAGGAAGACACGGCGAAGAGTTGGGCACCACAAACACCACGAGAGTCGGACCAGCCGACCGCCATGGCGAAGCGACACCATTAAAGAGAGAACCGCCGCCATCAGGAACGCCAAGAACGCGCTGCAGCTGTCCCACCTTCCCGGGGACCCAAAGCGGCGCCTTCAAGAAGGTGACGGAGCCGGGCACCGCCGCCGCCAACCAAAGTTGTGGGTTCTCACCCGGGTGCAGGGGAAGGACGAGGGGGAGGGGCTGGATCTCGAAGCCGCCTTCAAGAAGAAAACATCGCCTGGAGCGCCGCCGGCGTCATGGCCGCCGCAGCCGGTCAAGAAATTACTCCGATCCGGAGCTCCCAACCCCACATCCGCGCAGTCCGCCACCGGATCCGGCCGGACTGACAAGGAGGAAGCAGCAGCACGGGGGCGCCGTCTTCAGATCTGGCGAAGGAGAGCACCAGGGGATCCCTCCACGCGACGCCCGCATTCACCGCCAACTCGCCGCCCGCGCGGCCGAGTAGACGCGGCCCTCAACTCCGGCGAGCGCCGCCAGGACGACGCCGCCCTCACCAGCATAGGCTGCCGCCTCAAACCCTAGGCCCGAGCCCGAGCGGCGTCGCGGCCGAGGGCCTCGCCGCCACCCTCATCGACGGCCATTTTAGTATGAGTACCAAGATAAAAATGGTCCTCAGATTTTTTTAAATGAGTATCAAGATATTTCTTGATTAGTGGTTTCACCACACACCAAACTTGATCCTCAATACACGGGGAAAACCTCTGTGCATCACGTGTCAATTCTAGGAATTGAACTCGGATCGTTAGGCTGCATAACCGCATGCCCAACCACTAAGCCAAGGCTCTCTTTGCATACTGTTTTTGATGATTAGACAACAATTGACCTTTTGCAGTATTTTGTACATAGACAAAATTACCATTGGGCCAAGTCAATAGCCGCTCCATATCCTCTTGTTTCCTCTTACCGGTGCTCTTGTCCACCGCTTCAGTACTCTCGACCATCGTGTGCATAGCTGAAACACACACGAATCTCAAGGGAGAGAATCACCAGAGCCAAGGGACACAAATGTCAAAGCAGGGAACCAACAGAGCTATGTGGCACCAATCTCAATGGAGAGAACCACCGGAGCTCTTCTCCACCTTTGTTCTATCCTGAACTCGCCATCACCACCTCTCGTCCTCTTCCTCGGCAGAAAAGAAAAGATGGAGGCCTTCCTCGCCGGCTTCCGGGCGCCGCCTCGAGCTTCCGCCGTACCCACCGCCCGGAGCCCGCCTCCCAGCCCCTTTTTTCTCGGCACACGGCGCAGGAAGCCCTCCTCCTCTGCCTCCGTGGTCTGCATGGCGGTATGGTCTCTTTTACCATGCTTCATTGTTGCCGGCCAGTTCTTGAAGATAGGCAAGGGTCGTAATCTGTTGTGTATTTTTGTGTAGGAGCCACATCTCATATCAAAGTTGGATTCTACAGAGAGGGCATGGAAAGAAATGTCGGTATGGTTCTGTCCTTCTTCTTTTGCGCAGACTCTACTTCTTTGTTCAGTGCCTACTTTCTGAATCTTCACAAACCCTTTTAGAGCCTGTTTATTTCATGCTCCCTCCGCCTTAGTGCTAGATACATCCATTTGAGCGATAAATAATTCCAGATGGAGGGAGTAGCATTTTCATACGAATTTTCTACGGTTTTAATCCTTATAAAATTCCCTACCTGTAGTTCTGTTATAAAATTGTTATTTTGGGACCAAGTCAAATTCTTCAAAGCTACCGTCTCATTATTCGAGGAAAGCGATATGCTATACAACTTAAATTTTGATTCTTTCATATAAATATATTATCAATTTACCATGCACGGGAATCTAATGAATGAGTATCTTCTTCAGATTAGATTGGGTGACCCTGACATTGTCTCAGATCCGAGCGAATACCAAAAACTTGCACAGTCTGTTTCCGATCTGGGAGAGGTATATTTGGCATAACTCGAGTGCCATTTGCTTTTCGTTATTTGGGTGTTATGAACGTTTGTGCAAAATTTATCGATTTTTTTATGAAAAATATTCAGGTTGTGACGGCATATAGGGAATTTAAGGAATGTGAACGGCAGATTGAAGAAACAAAAGGTTGGTATGTTTCAATATTTTTTTTGCCTTGGTTTAAGTACTGGATGCTCACATACTTTTTTATTGACCAACATGATAGCTTTGCAAAAAGAGAATGGTGATGACCCTGATATGGCTGAGATGATAACTTCAGAGCTAGAGTCTCTCTCTGATCAGCTTGCGGAGCTCGAGGAAAGACTGACGGTAGGTATTGTTAGGAATAAGCAACTTGTATTCCCATGCGGCCATAGGCCGATATATATACATGTACAGGTGTGGAAAATATGCAGGAAACCCCTTATACAACGGGATAAATACAAAGGGGTACATGACTTATATTATAACTCTGACACCCCCCCTCAAACTCATGGTGGATGAATAGCACTGAGTTTGGAGAGATAAAAGCCATGTTGTGCTCTAGTCTGGGCCTTCGTCAGGAAATCCGCCAACTGTAACTCGGAAGGCATATACTGAAGAGCAATAACCTGATCCTGCACACCAGCGCGCACATAGAACGCATCAACACCAATATGCTTGGCGAGCTCATGCTTCACAGGATCGCGCGCAATGCTAATAGCACCTGTACTGTCAGATAATAGCAAAGTCGGTGTAGTGACAGAAACACCAAAATCCTGAAGTAACCACCGTAACCAAGTCACCTCTGCCGTCAAAAGAGCCATTGCTCGCAACTCAGCCTCTGCACTCGAACGGGAAACTGCAATCTGTTTCTTCGTCTTCCAGGCAATGAGAGAACCGCCAAGAAAAACACAGTAAGCAGAAAGTGAACGGCGATCGAAAGGATTACTAGCCCACGTAGCATCCGAATAGGCCTGAAGCTGTAAAGAACTGGAGCGAGGAAAGAATAGACGGTGAGAGATCGTGCCCCGAAGATATCGGAGAACACGAAGGAGATGACCATAGTGAACCGATGTGGGAGCAGAGACAAACTGACTCAGAATATGAACCGGATAAGAGATGTCCGGATGAGTGACAGCTAGATAGACAAGACTGCCAACGAGATGACGATAACGCGTCGGGTCAGGGAGAGGATCACCATCAGTAGCACGGAGGTGAACATTGAGCTCCATAGGAGTCTCAACAATGCGCTCGTCAGTAAGAGCAGCACGAGCAAGAAGATCCTGGATATACTTTTCCTGAGATATAAAAAAGCCATCAGAAGTAGAAGAGACTTCAATCCCAAGAAAGTAGCGAAGAGGTCCAAGATCAGACATAAGAAACTGCTCATTAAGACGGGCCTTTACAAAGGCAATATACTCGGGGTCATCCCCAGTGATGATCGTGTCATCAACATAGAGAAGAAGAAGAGTCCGACCACGAGGAGAAAGGTGAATAAACAATGCTGGATCATGAGCACTTGCTGAAAAACCAGCGGTAGTGACCACAGAGGCAAAACGCTCGAACCAGGCGCGGGGGGCATGCTTAAGGCCATAGAGAGAGCGACGAAGACGACATACCATGCCATCAGGAACAGAATACCCAGGTGGTGGCTGCATGTACACCTCCTCACGCAGCTCACCATTAAGAAAGGCATTCTTAACATCAAGCTGAGATACAGACCAGTGGCGTGCAGAGGCAACAACAAGAAGTGTACGAACAGTGGTCATATGGGCCACAGGAGCAAAAGTCTCGTCATAATCACGACCATGCTCCTGCTGAAAACCACGAGCCACAAGACGAGCTTTGTGACGCTCAAGAGAACCATCAGAGCGAGTCTTAACCTTGTAGACCCACTTACAAGTGATGGGACGGACTCCGGGAGGAAGAGAAACAAGATCCCAGATACCAGTGCGTTCAAGAGCAGCAATCTCCTCTGCCATCGCAAACTTCCATTCAGGATGAACAACAGCCTGACGATAAGAAGTCGGCTCAAGAACAGCAGCACTAGCGGTGGGAAATCCAAAATGATCAACAGGCGGACGAGGCCGAGAACGCAAGCCATAAGTAGGCTGAGAGGAAGATGACGACTCATCCACAGAGGCAACCATAGGTCGTGAACGACGAGTGTAATGCTGGGGAAAAGATGGAACAATAGAAGGAGGAATCGCCAAGGTAGAATCAAGGGGTGGCGACGAAGAAGTCGCCGGAGATGAAGGTCTAGAATCCGGTGACATGCTAGGCGAGGAGACCGGGGAAGAGGGTGGCTGCAAATCGACTAGAGGTGGAGAAGCAGAGGGAGTGGAACGAATAGGCATAGGCTCGACGGGGGTGATATGTGAGTCAGGAAAAGTGAGGAAAGAGATATCCTCCACTGAAAAAGTCGAGGAAGATGGGCGTGGGTAGAAGGGACGAGACTCATCAAAAGTCACGTCTCGAGAGATACGCATCCGACGACAGATAGGATCCCAACAACGATAGCCCTTATGTTCATCACTATAGCCTAAGAAGACACACTCAACAGACTGAGCGGTAAGTTTGGTGCGTTCGCGAGGGGCAAGAAGAACATAGCAAACACAACCAAACACGCGAAGCATCGAATAATCGGGAGAATGATCAAAAAGATGCTCGAAAGGAACACCACCCTGTAGAGCAGCAGAAGGCTGTATATTGATAAGATAGGTGGAGGTAGAGACGGCCTCAGCCCAAAAATGAGGCGGGAGAGAGGCAACAATCATCAATGCACGAGCCGTTTCAAGAAGATGTCAATGCTTTCGCTCAGCCACACCATTCTGAGCATGAGCACCAGGACAAGAGAATTGAGAGAGAGTTCCTTGCTCAGCAAGAACACCACACAACATCTTAGAGATATACTCGCCAGCGGAGTCAGCACGAAAAACACGAATAGGTGAAGAGAACTGAGTATGAACCATGGCAGCAAAACGCTTATAAATAGACAACACCTCACTACGAGAAGTCATGAAATAAAGCCATGTGTAACGAGAGAAATCATCTATGAAAATAATATAGTATTTATGACCACCTTTCGAAGCGAAAGGAGCCGGACCCCATACATCAGAATGAACTAAATCGAAAGGACGCTTAGACACCGACTCACTATGTGAATATGGTAACTGAATCTGCTTGCCAAGACGACAACCCTGACACTCTAAAGAGACATCTCCTGAGACAGACCCCAGAAGACCTCGACGAACTAAAGACGACAACCGAGAACCACACAGATGACCAAGTCGATGATGCCACTGCTTGAAGGAACCAGTAACGGAGGCGAGTGAAGCGGAGGAACTGGCAATGGTGGTGGCAGCGGAAGGAACATGAAGCCAGTCCAACTCCCAAAGACCCTGAGAATCACGGCGGCGAGGGCCAGCCCCAACCAGAGTGTGCGTGCGACGGTCCTGGACAGAACAAGAGTCAACATCAAGGATGACGCGACAACCAGAATCAGTAAGTTGACCAGCAGAAAACAAATTCATGGTAAGTCGAGGAACATGAGCAACATCAGGAACAGAATAAGGAGTGGAAAGATGGCCTCTACTAGCAACAGAAAGTGAAGTACCATCAGCAGTGAAGACATGAACAGGAGAATCCAGCGATCGAAGAGAGGACAAAGTGGAAGAATGAGAAGACATATGAAAAGAAGCTCCAGAGTCCAGAACCCATGGGGATGTACCTGACTGTGTAGAGGGCGGTTGCTCCGTGCGGGAAGCACCAGTCACAGAACCAGCAATACCCGTCGAGGAAGAACTTGAAGCCGCAAGCAGACGCTTAAGTTGCAAAATATCCTGCTCAGTCAAAGCAATGGCTGAAGCTATCGAGGTAGATGACGGAGTCCCTGAAGATGATGATCGCGCCTTGCGCAGGTGTTTCCGCTTCGTGTAGCACTGGGACTCAATATGACCATCATTGTTGCAGTAGTCACAATGTGGACGGGGGCGACCTGAGCTTCCAGAAGGAGTGGGCAAGAGCGGCGGAGCACTCGAGCGAGAAGGGGTCGGTGCAGCAGGTGGAGTGGAAGAAGCTCGAGTAGCGAGCACAGAGGGAACCTCCAGCAAACCAGCACCGCGTAAGCGAGTCTCCTCAGCACGAATCTCTGAAAGCGCCTCCATGAGAGAAATACGGCCACGAGCAAACAACTGAGCACGCCGGGGCTCAAACTCCTTATGGAGCCGAGACAGGAGTCCAGGACAGGCGGGGCCAGCTGGAGGCAGGGCCTGTGGGAAGAAGTCGATCGGGCCTGCAAGATCAGATCGATCGGGGTGGCTGGAACAGGGCTTCGATCGGGAGGAATCGAGCGGGGACGTGCAGGAGGAGATTGAAACCGGCGGGATGAGATCGAAGACGAGATCGAGCGGGGACGCTACAAGCGACCCGGTTGGAGATCGATCGGTAGAGACGGATCAAACGCACGAGTTGCAGCGTGCAAAAAATTGACCTAGCTCTGATACCATGTTTGGAATAAGCAACTTGTATTCCCATGAGGCCATAGGCCGATATATATACATGTACAGGTGTGGAAAATATGCAGGAAACCCCTTATACAACGGGATAAATACAAAGGGGCACATGACTTATATTATAACTCTAACAGGTATGCCAGATATTTTTGATTTATACTTGTTGAAGTACTTCTCATTGCGCTTACCTTTTCATGTTAGGTACTTCTGCTTCCAAGCGACCCTCTAAATTCACGTAACATCTTACTTGAAGGTATGTGTTGGTTTTCAAGTGTCCATCTGATCCTATCAACTTATCTAGGCAGTTGCTTTGACCATGTGCAATTGTTATATCACTACTAATTGAGGCAAGTAAAAATATGTTAACCAGGGCATTTTTATTATACCAATTCTCTCCAATTCAGTTCAGGAAAAACTTACGTAAGAGTGCCATACTGCGGAAGTGTTTAACTTACAATTGCTTCAACTCTAGTTCAAAATTTCGTATCTGAGAACTCTGTTTTCTTTGTTTCTGCAGTAAGAGCTGGCACTGGAGGTGATGAAGCTGGAATTTGGGCTGGTGACCTTGTAGGTAGATGCAAATCGAGTATGATTTAGCAACTGCGATAGTATATATGTTGTTGTTTGGTCTAGGTAATAGCATATTGATCATAATTTCATGATTTACGTGGATAACGACCTAAGAACTACTCAATGTGCAACAAAGATTTTTAGTTTTGGCAACCTCAGTTCATCTTTGTTCATTTCACAGTTGTTGTTCGAAAGTATACTCCCAGAATCATAGCGCATCGTATTTATGACTTTATTGACATAATCCACACTAAATGTGTAATGTCTATTCTGCAGGTACGCATGTATCAAAGATATTGTGAGCTCAACAATTGGAAGTTTAAACCAGTTTCTTGCTCAGAAGTATGTACCTGCAAACTTAGCCTGACTATTGAATAAAAACATGTTATTTCGCAAAAAAGAAGAAGAATAAAAACATGTTGATCGCGTAATTAAATCTTCCAGGCAGAAAAGGGTGGATACAAGACATTTGTGATGGAGGTGAAGGGAAAGCAAGTCTACAGTAAACTGAAGTTTGAGTCAGGTGTGCACCGTGTTCAGCGTGTACCACAGACAGAGACTATGGGTCGTGTTCACACGTCAACCGCAACTGTGGCTATTATGCCAGAGGTGACTATTAGATGCCACTTTCTGACATGGATTTTATGTTTTATTTTTTTAAGTTTTATAGTTGTGTTTTGATGGCACCATAGGCCGACGAAGTGGACGTGGTTATCGATCCAAAAGATATTGAACTTAAAGCTGCAAGATCTGGTGGAGCTGGAGATATACCACTTCTGGAGTGTGTGATTCTTCTAGTATTATACTCTATGACTTTGGGTGTATGTTACAATATCTTTCTGAAGGAAATGTACATTACATGTTACAACTGATTTTTACGCTTGTATGTTCTCGATCAATGCAGGGCAGAATGTTAACAAGGTGGAGACGGCTATTGATCTTATTCACAAGCCTACGGGAATAAGGATATTCTGCACAGAAGAAAGGTCACAACTTCAAAACAAAGAACGCGCATTCCAGTTATTAAGAGCAAAACTGTAAGTTTCTATCATCTGAATTATCCTTGTTATTGTGCAGCCTTTTAATCTGTGTGTTACTTCCATATGCTTGCTTTCATCTTATTGTTTCTGCTTGTAAAGATGCTCTTTCGTAGTAGTATTATAGTTGCATTTCTATCTTGAGTTTCTTCTCAAAGAAGCCATGAATTTGTACCTTCTTGGAGTTCATATTTACTCTGTACATTTGCTACCATTGTCAAACGATAAGTTAGTTTCATAGTTGAATTAATCCTTTGTGTGACTTATTTCATCTCCCATATATCTCTACATAAACATTACAGATATGAGATAAAGTTAAGGGAGCAACAAGAGTCCATAAGAACCCAGAGGTTACTGCAGGTATGATGTATGTTCTCGACAGAGGTTCATATGTTGCAAACTCATAGATGACCTACTGAAAGGAACAGAAATCTGTTTCCCAGATGATAATGTTCAGAAAAAAAAAGTTATACCAATGATGGTCGCAAAATATATATCTGAGTGGTGATATTGAATACACAAGTCTCTTAGTTATTGGCATGACTAACTTAAGGAATGCCAGGATTAAAAATGAAGTAACTTTCTTTGATTTTCACACGGGTTGCAAAATTTTGGTATACCCTATGTTGAATTTGCTAACACTGTTAATAATTAAAGGTCGGTACTGGTGCTCGCTCGGACAAGATACGGACGTACAATTATAAGGTACTAGCACATTATGTCATCTTAGGGTTTCATGCCACTGAAATATTTGGGTTGCCAATGTTTGAAATATCTAAAGTATATTTGAGTCTATTTCAAATTTGGTCACAGGACAACAGAGTGACTGATCATCGGTTGAAGATGAATTTTGTATTGTCTAGCTTCCTTTTAGGAGATATTGAGTCAGCTGTTCAGGTACATCACATATCATGATATGCAAATTGTGTGACATGCAACCATTTGGGAACTGAAGAACTAGCACATGACATAGAAATCCACAGCGTTTGTTAATTTCGTTATCCTGAAACATCTACAGTCCTGCGCTGCATTGGAGCAGAAGGAACTCTTGGAGGAAATGGCCACTTCTTCTGCAGTGAAGGCATGATCAGTTTAACTATTCCTTTTGCTTCTGGCCATATCCTAAAGGAGAACAGATCCAATGGCATCTTACAGTCGATGGAGATCGTCGACCAAGATGTACATGAAAAAACTCGAGAGTCGCGAATCATATTCCTTGCATGCACACACTGTTTTGTTTGCTCATGGTCATTTTGCATATACACTAGTGTCTGTAGACAATTTGATGCACTCCAGTTGCCCTGATGGGAGCAGATTTTGAGTAGCTGAAATCGACATTTTTTTACAACAAAGCGGTGACGCTGGTTGAAAATATACATAAAAGTTCTGTGTGGTTGAAGTCCTGAAGAGTGGTGATGTGTCTGCGTGGAATCTGTGCACCAGGATATTTTGTGCAGGCGCAGGTAACAGTGTGTTTAGGGCTCATCTAGATGTGACATAACTATATCACTGCTAAGTATGATATCAGCGGCACCCTCACATCAGAAGTAGCCCATCCCATCTCGAAAGCGATGTTTTGGCTCCCGGGCTAACATCGTTTAAAATACTAAACAAATTAAAAAAAAATCATTTTTTTGTGGTGAAAGATGCTTAAATGCGTGATGTCCATACCAAATTTGGTGATATTTTGACATTTGAGGAGCTCGTGACAAAAAAATAAATAAATTCGAGTCTGAGATAAACATTTGAAAAACAACACTATTCATGCCTGGATTTGTCTTTTTTGCCGCGCCCTCCTGGAATGTCCAAACATCACCAAATTTTGCACGAACATCACGCACAAGCACATCTTGCTTGCAATTCTTTTTTCAGATTTATTTGATTTTTTTCTATTTTTAATCACATTACTGTTCATCGGGCTCATCTGAGCCCAGGCACCAATTCGGGCACCGAATTGGATATTCGATCCCATCTCGTGTTCGTTTGTTACTTTTTTCTTTGTTTCTCCTACGACCAGCTTGTTTTACTCAAAACTAATGATGCTCCAGTTCAAGTTATCAAGTTTTACTCAAACTAGCTCGGAAAGGCACGTCGGCACGCCGCGCCCGTGAAGGTGCCCATGCAAATGCTTGTTGTTTGATGATAACATAACTATACAAAGTCACCCTAAACATCACATGACTAAACTATGGTGCACACCAACAAAACACAACTTTGTCGGGCTCACTAAGAAATGAGCATGTCTAGTAAATTTGTAAAAAATCAGCAAGGAACTTGATATTTAATCTAAGGCTACTTGTTGCATTTTTTTTTGATAATTTGAACATTGTTACACTATACGAGAACTTGTATACTTGTGGTACTAAACATTATGTAGTCCACAAGACTGTATTGTATTTAAACAGTAGCAAAATATGCAGGATTGAGTAATACCTAAATTGATAGAGACAAATACACACTCCCTCTGTAAAGAAATATAAAAGTGTTTAGATCACTAGAGTAGTGATCTAAGCGCTTTTATTTTTCTTTATAGAGGGAGCACTTCTTAATCTGGACAGTAAGTAGACCAATCCACATAACAAGAGATCATATTTGGCGATGATGTTAGCAAACAGTCTTTCAAGAGAAATGTTCAATCTCTTGGCGTGCACAAAGTGCATAGCCAATATATCATGACTAATTATTGTGTACTCAATCATCCATCAAACACAATAAGCTACGTGGAAGGCGTGCCCACTCGGCCTGTCCACGTCGGCAGGAGACGCGCGAGCGACACCGTTTGAGGTACCATTCTGATTGGGAAAGAGGGAAAAGGGTGTGCGGTTGGGCGTCATTGGTCCCTGTTTCGGTTGGTCCGCGCGTACGTAAGGAAACTTAAGAGGGAAGTAAAGAAATCCTATGGCACGCAAGCTCACAATCCATGCGCACACGCAATCTCACCTCTCCTTCGCATATCCCTTCGGCGGCATCGACCCCATCCCATGGTGCGCTGCGGCTTTCCCCTACCCTTTGCTTCTATCCTTGCCTCGTCGTCATTACTGCTCCCACCCTGCAATAAGCACCTATCTCAGGCTGCAAATGGGACTACACATGGGAGTCCCACCTTTACCCGAATAACCGGACATCCCATCACAAGGTACAAACATTAGGTGGGAATAAGTGGGATCCCACTTAGCATATGCGCACAGACGTAAACACTAATTTAGCATCCATCAGTAATCTGTTACTCACACCCTCACATCCTAGCTAGCCGAGTAGCTTTGTGGTCGTCCTCATACTCACTGTCGCTACAGCCGATGATGTATCCTCCCCCCTTCTACCCCTCCGTGGAGGCGCACTATGACCACATGCCCGGAGCTCTGCCTTTCCATGCTTGCCGACATCCCGGACCTTCACAAGTAACCGTTCATGGACGTATCTTCGCAGTCGTCACACACCGGGAATAAGGTGATCACATTGTTGTCTTTGACTGCATGGGTCTTCTCAAGACCACTATGGAGGCATGGATGACCTCATGGGAAATATGGCGGCGGATCTGCAGTCGCCCTCTGTGGCTAGGCGGTCGACCATGAAACACGACATGATGGTAGTCTCGGTGGCATAAGGTGTGTTGGAAATATGAGCAATTTACCAAATGATTTTATTAACAGAAATATTAGATAAGACATGACTATTATAGCAGAGATAAAACAAGTCATGCAATCTAACAGAGAGAAGGTAAATAGCATCTTCATATATGAACTAGAACCGAACACATCTAGAGCAAACATATCTAGAGCAGACACTAGAGCAAGAAACTATGGCAGAACCTCAAACAGAAAGAGCATGAGAACACACGGAACAACATCAGAAGCACCGGTCTTGGGGTCAATGTCATCGCCAGCCATGTCGTCGAAGAGGTTGTCGACGTCGGGGAAGAAGTCATTGTTGGGGAAGTGGTCGTCGGTGCCCTGAGCGTCCGTGATGAACCGGTCAGTAGTAGCGCAGAGCTCTCCCCCAAAACCTTATCACCCTTCTCCGTACAGGATTGAAAGAGGTGGGGTTTCGGAGGCCTACCGTCCCAACCTGCGGTGCATGCTGCAAGCCAGGATGGGGAAGATCGCGGCAGTAGCTCAGTGGTCAGGAACGGTGGCGAGAGGAAGATGATCTTTTGATGTGTCTCTGGAGAGGAGCGACATCTCTTTTATAGGCACAGGAGCAGGAGGCGAATAGGCTGAGACGGGAGTTGAAGCAAAGGAGGGAGATGAAACGAACAGACAACAACCGCAGGGTGCAGCGTTCGTGTCAATATCCACTACAGCAAAAACTTTCCAGTTCCCGAGTGACCTTTCGTATACCGTCGTGCATGGCAAAAAATTTAGACATGGGATCGGCTCATTCCCGCAACCCGTGGCGCGTCCTGACGAGGCGTGGCATGGCGAGGTGGGTGGCGGAGGAGGAGTGCACGTGAATGTCCCTCTTGTTCTCATGCTCATACATGTGGGGAAACAATCTCCCTTATAAGGAGGTGATGCGGAGCATCCCAAGGTCATCCCCATGGACCTACCTACGTCTCCCACAACACCACTTGGACCAATGACAAGAGCACGAGCAAAGGCTATCGAAGATAAGGTCAACTCGCTCCTTTCCGAACTATCACTTTTTATACATGAGACATGGCTGCTACCTCAAGCGGAAACACTATGTCTGCTCAGGTACTTGGAGGAAAGCCACGAAACATCTACATCCAACGGACAAGACGGCGAGGACACCAAGTGCAAAGGACAAGAAGAAGAGCTGCCACGGAAACTACAGCCACCGGACGACCGGTCCATACCGGACGTTCGACCCCTGAAGGCCACACCAGCCCAAGGAAACCAGTCCTTCGAAGTCTACAACGGCCGGACGACCGCCCAGGACCGGACGTCCGACACCTCCCAGGCTCCGGACGACCGACACTCCTGCAACCAAACGAAAATAGTGGAAATCCGAGGAAGACCAGACGACCGGTGCCCGGACGACCAGACTCCCACGGACGTCCGCTACCTCCATGACAGAACGTAATCTATGGAAGGCCGAAGATCTACGGATGTCCGGACCTCCCCGAGCCTCCGGACGACTGACACCTTACAAACGTCCGGCCCCTGGCTATGTCCAGTTGTGGGCTGAGCCCCATGTACCCCTTTACTTTACCCCCTTTTTGTACTACGACTATAAATAGACCTCTCCCTCCTCTTATCTAGGGTAGCGTTGTGATAGCTCATTTGTGAGATAGAGCCTCGCTCATCCATACGGATCTACTCCTTGAGAGAGACAGTGGCCCCTCTACGGAGAAGATCCCCTTAGATTCAAGACCCCCTTTTGGGTGGCCCCATCAAGACCTCCTTTGGAGAAGACCGGTTACCCTGTGTATCATCCCGTGTTGACTTTGGATCGTGTGATCTCTTTTGTGTTCGAGGACCTAGCATATGTTTGATCATTCTTGTTGGTTTGAGAGATTCTCTCATGTTTCCCCTCGTGTTCTTCGTGTTCATCGCAGGATCCGCTCCTTTCATGAAAGATCGACTGAATAGGGTTCCACCCTATATCATCTTGGTATCATGAGCCACGTTGATCACGATTTCGGAGCCTCCCTGTTGTGTTTTCTAGCCTTGTTTTGTTGATTTCGTCCTAAATTCGAAAATTCCCCACAAAAATAGCCCAATTTTTTGTTTGTGATTTGTTGGTGGGATGAAATTTTGTTGGATTTGATCCATGGATTTGCTTTGCCTTGAGTGGATCTAGCTTTTCCCTTTCGTCTCCACCTTTTTCATCCACAAACTCACCCGGATTCGATGGATTTCAACCTCTCCTCGACGAACCCTAGCAGTTCATCCCGTGCCCGAAATCGCACATGCACCGGACGTCCGACAACCAGACGACCGCAATTCCCCGAACGTCCGTAATTCCCTGACTAAACTGGATTTTTCTCCCCCCAAAAATTTTCAGCCACCGCCCCACTTCTGCATACGCATTTCTATACCACCACCACTTTCCGCAACCACTTTACTTTGACTCGCTTCCCACTCTAACACATTTTTTGCCACGTTTTGCCTTGAGAATTTGAGT